GGAGCAGCGCTGTTTTATCATTCTAGATACATTTGAAAGTTCTGTTATAATGGTACTCTGTGCGGTCATCACCGGTTTATTAAAACGCACAACATATTAAAGCGTCTTTGGTGTTTCCATGTTTTCTACAAAACAAAACCGGAAATCGAGAGGTTATGACGTCATTAGCAGGCGACACAATGACGCTATGAACACGCTCCGTGCCACTAGTTAAAATTGCTTATTTCTCTGGATTTAAACATTCTTCGAAACATTTGGGATAATGTAAGTACACAAGTCAGCAAAATATATAACACTGTTCTAGTGGTTTTTGGATATTTTCATAAAAAAATCTTACATATTGTGCCTTTAAATCAGAGCTGAAAGTCTTCAATTCATACAGACATGGCATTAAATGTTGCATGCACTGCAGAAAACGAATCTCTTGCTCAGTGTTTCTGTCTTGTTCTCCAGAACAAATCTCTAAACATCCTTAAATCCAGACACATTTACTGGAGACGCACAGTGAAGACATGAAGTCTCGTTTTCTGAGAAACTGATCAAAATGAAGTGAGTTTATGCTCAACCTTCTGCTCTTGACCTAAAAAGTTTATGCTTTTGGTTTTTTCGAATTACTTTGCTTCATCAGAATGGTACAAAAATGTGTTTTCACTTGCTGTGTGAGCAAAAAAACCAATCATGGACATGTTTTGAAGGAGTTAAAGCGGATATAACACACACAGTACTGCATCCTTCAAATCTCCCAAGAGTCTTTAGTTTGATCAGATTTATCAGACTCGTTTTTTGAAACTTTGCCCATGTTTAGCGTGAGAATCGAACTCTTCAACAGTGTAAATAAGTCAGTCATTTTTCTGTGATATCCACCTCAAATTTGGAACATAACTTGTTTAGATTTACGACTTTGATTTTCATGCAGTTTTAGAGTAAAACATGTTTTGGAAAATTTATATTTTACATAAAATTTCAAATAAATGCAAAATAGTATTTTTTGTGAATTTTACATAACAATAATCATCTTCTAGAATGTTTTTTTTTTTTTACTTCAGCAATAATCTTCCAAGTGTCTTCTTTAAAAAGAGACCAAACGTACGTCTCCAAAACATTCCAGATTTACAGCAGTTTAAGTTGGAAATTTCATTTTCAGGTCAATGCTCAAAAAGTGGATAATAGGTAATGAATGGATAATAATTACTGCATAAACATTATTTAGTATCATAAAATCCCCTAAAAATACAAAATATTAATTTAATTTTTTTCATCAAATTAAAATACAGTACATTCTTTTGATTGAAATAATAAATTTAGTCAATTTTGAGCACCATTCAAGGAGCTCATGAGGGTTAAAGGGGTCATATGATGCTGCTAAAAAGAACATTATTTTGTGTATTTGGTGTAATGAAATGTGTTTATGCGGTTTAAAGTTAAAAAAGAAATATCCATCAGTGGGGAATAAAAACGTTTTCCTTTGAATTAAGTTGATTTTTTGAGTCCACTGACGGATATTGGTTCTTGTTTTAATCATAAACTCCATTTTGATCAGTTTCTCAGAAAACAAGACTTCATGTGTTGATTGAGCGTCTCCAGTAAATGTGTCTTGATTTATGAATCTTTAGACATCTGCGCTGGAAAACAAGACAGAAATACTGAGGAAGAACAGCACTTTTTTGCGGTGTGATCAGAAGGTACAGAAAAAGTTATTTCTTTGTGTTTTCCCTTCAATTAATTCCTTATATTTTCTTGATTGGTCTTAAAGTCATAAACTGCAGAACCCCTGAAGCAGAAAAGCATGTTTGTCTGTGACTGAACACTTAATTCAAGCACTAATTGTGGCGTGTGCTGCTCTTCCGCTGTGTTTGTGATGAGAATGAATCTCTTGAACGCTGCAGATGAGAGCAGAGGAGGAGCCGTGAAGCTCTGAGACTTCAGGAAGAGAGGAAAAAAATCATATTTTTCCTCTCGTCAAAAATCATATTTCCTCTCGTCAAAAATCATTTTTTCACTCGTCAAAAATCATATTTCCTCTTGTCAAAAATCATATTTCCTCTTGTCAAAAATCATTTTTCCTCTCGTCAAAAATCATATTTCCTCTTGTCAAAAATCATTTTTCCTCTCGTCAAAAATCTTATTTCCTCTCGTCAAAAATAATTTTTTCACTCGTCAAAAATCATATTTTCACTCGTCAAAAATCATTTTTCCTCTCGTCAAAAATCATTTGTTCACTCATCAAAAAAATCATATTTTCACTCATCAAAAATAAATTATCTCCTCAAAAGCAGTTAACTCTGCTGCTCGTGTTTCCAGCTGACCAAGAAGGTGAGGAACGTGGAGACCAGCTGGGCTTTTCACCCACTTTCAGAAGTTCAGGCTCCATTAAAGAGCTTCGGTTACGTTTCTCCTCAAATCAAAGAAAGAACCGCTTAACGCTCCTAAAACAGGCTTCAGGGTCTTTCTTCATGTGAAACACGTCTCAGAGATGAGCTTCTGTTTGATTCCTCAGGAGCTTCATGTGAGAATGAACAGAAAACAGATCTGACCAGAGCTTCTGTAAATGGAGAATATGCTGTTGTTGATTACGTGTTATGGTTTACAACACTCTGTCTGTAATATTTCTTTGTTTCCCCAATTAAAATGAATAACATGTACATTTGTCTGTATTGACTTTCCAGACTTTTTCTGTCATGAATCATATTTAAGTACAAGCATATTCCAGGCAGAATCCTGAATAACAGCAAATGCATAAAGAAGAAAGCTTTCGACACCATAGAGTAACTCCAGACTAAATACAGAAACGGTGCTGAATGTACATCACAACACCAGGAAAACATCTCGTCAAAATACATTTTTCTCTCATCAAAAATCTGTTTTTCACTCGTTAAAAATTTGTTTTTTATGGAAGGAAAAGTGCCAAGCAATAATAAAAAATACAAAAAAACCATCTTGAGGTTAAATTAATACGTGATAAAAGTCAAAATAAAATGTTGAGAAAAAAAAAACTCAATTACGAGAAAAATGTTTTCGTGTTTCGAGAAAAAATAGCTACATTTTGAGAAAAAAAAAGTCGAAATAAAATGTTGCGAATAAACATTCTCAGCATTTTATTTTGACTTTTCCCCCCGAAATTTTTAACAATTTTTTTTCTCTAAACAACTTCATTCTCGAAATTTAATTATATAATTCTCAACATTTTATTTCAACATTTTACTTGAAATGTAACGAGTTTGAACGCAATGACTAATCTCGAGATGGTTTAACTTTTTTTCACTTGTCAAAAATATTTTTTCAGTCTTCAAAAATATATATTTTTTCAAATCATACAAAAAAAATTCTGGTCAAAACAAAAAAACATTTTCTCTGGTCAAAAAACTATTTCTTGTCGGAAACACATTTTTCTAAATCTCTCTCTCCTTTTTCCCCCTCATTGTTTCATTTTTGAAGTTTAAAAACACTTTTATCCACCTTGAATTTTTCCTTTAGCGTTGCGTTTCAGGGTTTCTGTAGGAAAAACCCACATTTGAATACCTGACGTCTCATAAAGGGAGAATCTCATTCTTTGTTTATTGGCATGTCACTTGTGAGGAGTTATTTTGTTGATGTTTATTTTCACATTGCAGTTAATACAAAGAAATGTCTCATTTGAAGGTGTTTGAGACGTTCCCACTCGTTATTGGTTCATGATTTGGTTTAATGTTTTTGATGATGAAATGATGAAATCGAGAAGCGTGTTTTTCCTAAAATAGTTTATTTACAAAAGCAGCTGTTAGAGCAGAGCGACCACGTCATCGCTGTAGCCGTGGGCCGTCGTCATGGTGACCAGGTCATGGGGCGGAGTCAGAACCACGACCGCCGCACCTGAGCACACGGAACACGCGTGATGACGTCACTGCCGTTAGTCATGTGACAGAGCGTCAGAGAGAGCGTCCGTACCTTGAGTTGGTAAGATGGCGTGATGCAGATTCACGCTGACCATCGAATCACCGCCGGAGTCCGCCTCCAGCAGACTGCTATGAGTGAGCGCTTCACCTGTCAATCACACACAGACACGCCCACTGAGATCAGTGCCACAAACAGCGTAAAGCATGTTTAAATTGTATACAATAAAACATATTACACTGACGATATATACTAAGGTGCCATTTCTAACATACTCCTTACTGCATATGAATACTACAAACACAATGCAGTGTCCTCTTCTATTTCCAGAATAATGAACTAAAGCAATTACAATGACTCGTCTGATAAACGTCAAACACTGACTGTTTTTTTCTTACACAAAATTGAACTGAAAATCCAAAATTAAGTGAAGTTATTTTGCACACTAATAATTAAAATCTGGAAATATCACGGAATTTTAAAGCTGTGTTTTCTGGAAATGCCATATCTACAACAAGCCTCATCTGATGGTTTATATCGTCACCAAATGTAAACTGTCCTATAATTAGATGACAAACATTAACCTAAATGAAATACAATCAATTTAAGTTGAAGTATTAAAATGACTAAAACTACAACTGAAATAAAGCTACATTGAATATTTTTAATAAAACCTAACAGAAATGGCAAAAGCACATAACATTACTAAAATTGGAATAAAAATAGCAAAAATTGAACAAAAGCTATTTTTTTTAATAACAAATGACAAAAGCACATAAAGTTACTAACACTAAAACTTAAAGCTACATTAATTTTTTTTTATAAAAACTAATAAAAAAAAGACAAAAGCACAAAATTACTAAAACAAATAAAAACAGATTAAAGGTAAATATATTTTTTAAAATAAACAAAGCTAATAGAAATAAAAATAAAATTACTAAAAGGTTAAAAGCTAAACTAAACTAATGAACTGAAATTAAAATAACACCGAAAATGTACAAATGAAAGCTAAATATTCTAAACATGTATAAATACTGTAACAGAATATCAGCATAAGAGTAAACACTGTTCTGTTGGTGTAGTGTGCTGGATGTCATTGATTGTGTCGTGTAGCAACAGGATCATGTGACGTGTGTATTATTAATGTCTGAAATGCGATCGCGTTACCCGTGTCTCTGCTGTCAGGCAGCAGAGTCTCATCGCTGTGTCTCTTCTTCATGTGGACGTTTCTGCTGCCGCTCTGAGAGAATGTCTTCCCGCAGATGGAGCACACGTGCGGCTTCTCACCTGATCACAAGCACACGTTAACAGATCACATGATCAAATCATGAGCACATGTTCACAAGCACACGTTAACAGATCACACAATAGGTGCGTTCAACTTCATGCAGCACTGCGCAGACCGATCGGCGGCTGACTTGAAGCAGTGCATTCCGGTTAGAGATCACATGATCACAAGCACACGTTAACAGATCACACGATCACGAGCACACGTTAATAGATCACACGTTCACGAGCACACGTTAATAGATCACACAATAACAGGTCACGAGCACACGATAACAGATCACATGATCACGAGCACACGTTAACAGATCACATGATAACAATCACATGATCACAAGGACACGTTAACAGATCACACAACAACATCACAAGCACACGGTAACAGATCACACGATCACAAGCACACGGTAACAGATCACATGATCACAAGCACACGATAACAGATCACATGATCACACATTCACGAGCACACGTTAACAGATCACACGATAACAATCCCACGTTAGCAGATCACATGTTAACAGATCACACGTTAGGGCTGCACGATAAATCACATGCGATATTTAACACGCATCTTGTCAGAAAAGCCGGTTCTGTAATCAGCGGTAAATCTCCATCACCTGCGAGCTTTCACATTGAGCAGCATTAACTACACAGAGCCGTTGTTCACTGACAAGCTGCGCAAAACATGCGCAAATTATGATCGTGGTTTTGCGCAGCTTGTCATGCGCATGCGATTTATCGTGCAGCCCTATCACACGTTCACGAGCACACAATAACAGATCACACGTTCATGAGAACACGATAACAGATCATGAGCACATGATGCATTATAGGGTTGTGCCGATAGACGATAGTCAGAGATATCGATGATAGCACGTCTTTGTTGATAGTCAAGACGATATTAGGCTCATTCTCCTATAAATGTATTAAAGTATTATTATTAGGCGGCCGAGCGCTGTATGACTGATGTACCCGTTTAATTTAACTTTACTTCAAATATATGAACTTACCTGTTTTAAATACGTTTATATTTAACATGTTCGTTTGTGTCCAATATTTAGTGTTAAACTGTTGGTCTTTAAAATAAATCTACTTTTGATTTTCACCGTTGACTGCAGACCTTTAAGACTGATAACTTCCGTGCTCTGATGCGGCAAACTTGTCACATGACGCGCGGTCCTAATAGCGATGTATGGCTGTTGTATCCGAATATATATGAACTAGCTGTTTTTAAATATTTTTATATTTAACATGTTAGTTTATCAGTATGTTTAAAAGCATATTGTACAGAGAGTCTCTCTCTTGCCTCACCCATGCACGCACGCACGCACGATAATATCGAGTATCGGCGATCTCACGGGCTGGCGATATGACGATTTGAAAAATGACCATATCGCCCAACACTAATGCATTATATGATTAATTAAGATAAGCACGAGTCATGTGACCTTACCAGAGTGTACGAGCATGTGTTTGCGCAGACTGGAATATTCTGCGAAAGATCGGCCACAACTATCAACATCACACAGGAAGGGCTTTTCTCCTGAAAAACAACATTTAAATGATATGATTCAGTATTTAGAATTCATTATTATTAACAATAATCATTTGAAAAATTCTTACTATTAATATCTACTATCATACATATAATTAATAATTATATAATATCTAAGCTTACTGGAAAAAAAATTATAATATCCAACTTATAATATGTAATAATATTTGGTTTTTACTAGGGCTGCACGATAAATCGCATGCGATATTTAACGCGCATCTTTTTACATATTTTTATAATAAAGCTATATCGATACTAGGGCTGGGCGATATGGGCAAAAATATTATTACAATAAGACTTTTCATATCAGTCGATATCAATAATTATCACAATAAATTTCAGATCTTTATTTTTTTCAAGTTTAAAGGCAGATTTTTACTCCTAGACTATTGTTTATTGTGTGTGAGTGTGTGTGTGTGTGTGCAAGTTTGTGCACCGGTGTGTGTGTACCGGTGTAGGTGTGTGTGTCTGAGTGTGTGTGTGCGCGCGCACCGGTGTGTGTGTGTACCGGTGTGTGTGTGTGTGTCTGAGTGTGTGTGTGTACCGGTGTGTGTGTGTCTGTGTATGTGTACCGGTGTGTGTATCTGTGTGTGAGTGTGTGTACCGGTGTGTGAGTGTGTGTACCGGTGTGTGTGTGTGTCTGAGTGAGTGTGTGTCTGTGTGTGAGTGTGTGTACCGGTGTGTGTGTGTCTGAGTGTGTGTGTGTGTGTCTGTGTGTGTGTCTGAGTGAGTGTGTGTCTGTACCGGTGTGTGAGTGTGTGTGTGGGTGTGTGTGTCTGAGTGTGTGTGTGTGTACCGGTGTGTGTGCGTCTGTGGTTCTTCAGGTTTCCGGCGGTGGTGAACTTCTTGCTGCAGTTCTTCTCGCTGCAGATGAAGGGTTTCTCTCCGTTGTGGGTCCTCATGTGAACCTGCAGCCGCTGCAGAACATAGAAGCTCTTCCCACAACCCTCGGCTCCGCAGCGGAATGTACGGTCGTTCCTGAAACACACACATGCTACCAGCTCACACACAACTCTAACGCTGTACATACATTACATTACAATAATAATGTGAAATATTATTACAGTGTAAAACAGCTGTTATATATTGTAAAATGTAATTTATTTCTGATGCGCAGCTGTATTTTCAGCATCATTACTCCAGTCTTCAGTGTCACATGATCTTCAGATATCAGTATAATATGCTGATCACAAACATCACAAACAAGCTCCCATAGAACACAGGCTTTGTTTTGTTTGTTTGGGTGTTGTGTGTGTGACGGCTGTCACCTGTGTGTTTTCAGGTGGTATTTGAGGTGAGCTGGATAGGTGAAGGTCCGGTGGCAGTTCTCATACGAGCATCGGTGGACCTTCTCTGACGCGGCGCGACCGACCCGAGGCTCTGATTGACAGCTGTGGATGTGGTCACCTTGGCAACAAGACAGCGAGACATGAGAGAGCAGCAGGCGTGATGCAGAGCAGCGACGGTTTGATGATGAAAGCGTGTCTCACTGTTGCTGCCGGCCCGTGCGTCTCTGGCCAGCTGTGCGCGTGTGGCGGCGATCAGGCTGTCGTGAGCCAGCTCCTGGACCCGCAGGTACCACGGCACGCTGCCATCGGCGCAGTCTCCAGCCGAAACCTCCTCCTGCGCCTCGTCCACATCGTCCTGAACGAACACCAGCGGCTCGGCCGACGCCACCATCCCTACGACACACAATCACTGCGTCAGCACCAGCTACGAAATACACAGATGTGTGGGCTATGTGATGTTATATAAAATCTAATATGCATTTTCATTATGCATTTGTAAATGATTCAGGGTAAAACGGGTAAATGTATAAAATCAAATAAATCACTGCATTATTACATCCTATGGTTTCATATCACTGTAACAGTTATTTTTGCTGGAAAATCATCGACTCAAAATTTGGATTTGAAAAAAAAAAAACCTTGCAAAGGAATTTTTACAAAATGAGCAGTTCTGTTTTAAACAGTGTTAATATTCGAAAAAAAAAAAAAAAAAATGTTAACTAGTCAATCGCATCTAAAATAAAAGTTTTTGTTTACATAATATATGCGTGTACTGTGTATAAAATATGTTATGTTTATATATTAAATATATTTTTATATAATATAAATTATATGAATATAAACATATATGTACATATTTTCAAAATATATACTGTATGTGTGTGTATTTATATATACATAATAAACAGTACACACGTATATATTATGTAAATAAAAACTTTCATTTTGGATGCGATTAACTGTTTGACAGCACTAGTTTAAACACTTTTTTAATGGAAAGGTTATAATATGGTTTTTACACATTAAAAAATAGATTTACACTTACATGTAGTTCATTTAGGCAAATGCACAAAAGGTAAAATATATAAAACAAATAAATAAAATGACAACTTAAAAATGTAACTTCCACACAGATGAGCGTCTCACCTTTGGCCAGGTTGAGCAGAACGTAAGACGAGCTGTCGTGGTTCTGGAGGTCCTGCAGGATGGTGGGCGGGGTTTGTGCTGGAGGGGGAGGAGTCTGCAGCTGAACCACCAATGGGCTTCGCTCAGGGCCGAAGTCTGACAGCGACGGGGAGGCGGCATGACTCAGAGCGCTCTCTGAAAAACACAGAAAACACCCCATATACACACACAGATCAGATCTATAATCACACACAACCTTCACTGTAAGAGAGACGGATCATTACAAACTACTTCATTCCGACGGTTCAATGCGATTTACAAGTGGTTACAAAATTCATACAAAAAATGTCAAATACACTTCAAAAATGGTTCACTGGAGTCTGCAAAACATCTTCAAAACATTTTGAGACAAACAAAATACCTCTTCTAGGATGATCAAGTTCTCACCGAAAGAATGAACTGAATTAAACTTCAGAAGCAAAAATGTTTAAAATAATTCTCAGCAAAAGACTAAAATTCTTGAAAAAAAAAAAAAAAAGTTGTAAAGTAGTTTTTTTACAAAATGAGCAGTTCTGTGTCTTTTTTTATTAAAAAAATTAAAATAAAAAATATATTTTAATTTTAAATATAAACACATTTATGACATGGCAAGGTTAGTGCAGGCTGTTAAAAAAAAAGTACACCTTAAAAAATATATTTGTATTTGTAGATGATTCAAATGTGTGCTCTCATATGTGCAAATGTACAAAGGGTAAAAAATATCAAATAAATGTATAAAGATATATTATAACTGACAACACAGTCTTTGGACTAAGATATAAAAGCTTATGCATGATTCGGATAGATGTAAAATAAAATAAAATAATAACTGACCACACAGTCATTAATTTAAAACATCTGATGAAAATATAAAGGCTTTTGCATTTGATTCAGATGTTAATGTAAAACTGTAAATGCATGAAATAAATAAAAATATAACTTATAACGGACAGCACAGTCATTAAATCCAAACTTTTTGTGAAAATATAAAAGCACAAGTTTTCTGAAAGACTTGTATTTGTATGAGGCCTCACCTGGCAGCTCTAGCGGGCCGCAGAGCGACGACAGCAGCGAGACGCAGGACGCTTTAGTGTCCGATTCCTCCAGACTCTGGCCCAGCGGGATGGACGCGTTCTGAACAAACTCAACCAACAGCTACACAACACAACAACACACAACACTTTAGCAAAGGAAAACCAGTCTCCTCTTGGCTTATATCCAAATCCTCCGACATTCTTCTTTACAAATCCTCGTTTTGTACTTCTAATTCTTGACCATTGTTTTGTTTTGATCTCTCCGCTGCACTTCCGCGTGCGTCACTTCTGAGCGGCACATGCACAAAGCTGACCTCATACGTCATGCTCCCGGAACTGCTTCCGTTTACAACAGTGAGCGCAAGCTACATTAAAGTGATTATTACGTTTTGAATATGGATATTTTTCTTACAAAAACGCATCGATTCGCTACAGAAGGCCTTTGTTCACCCCCCGGAGCCGTGTGAGACACTTTTTTTATTTTATGGATGGGCGCTTTTTATTTAACTTCTTTTGGACTGATGCATGCAACACCCGCTGAGTGGCAAAAGACAATTTTTAATATAACTCCGACTGGATTCGTCTGAAAGAAGAAAGCCATATACACCTAGGATGGCTCTGGGGTGAGTAAAACACAGTCTAATTTTCATTTTTGGGTGAACTAAACTAACTAAACTATTACTTTTATCTTCCCTTTACACACTCTCCTTTCTGTCCTCTCTTCTCCTCCTCTATCATGTGTTTCCTAAACATTCCGCCTGTCTCTCGACAACGCTCTAACATCACTCGCAGACGGCAACGCAATCTTGCTAACCTGCGTCCTATCTCTACATTCTCTACTGCACCTCTTTCTTTCTCTGTGGGTCTCTGGAATTGTCAGTCAGCTGTCAACAAAGCTGACTTCATTTCCGCTTTTTCTTTAAACTCCACACTCCGCATCTTGGGCTTGACTGAGACCTGGATTCGTCCAGAAGACTCAGCAACCCCAGCTGCTCTGTCTAACATTAGGGCCTTTCGCACCACGGGAACCTTTTCATAGTACCAGAACTAATTGTGGAATTACGCACTTTTTGGCGTTTTCGCACAGCCGGAACTGGATTTTAGTACCGGACTGCCTTTTTCGAGAACCAAATTAGCTCCTACTCCAGAGCAGGGTCTAACCAGCACAACTGGTACTAATCGTGACGCAAGTAGACATTGATTGGCCAAACGCGGTGCGAAAGGCCCTATTTTCTCTTTCTTTCACACGCCCCGTCAGGTTGGGAGGGGTAGGGCACTGGTCTGCTCATTTGAATCTCATGCGATTACTGTAACAGCTCCTATAAAACTCCAGGTTGTGGTAATTTACCGGCCTCCTGGGCAAATTCTAGCCACCTTCCTAGAGGAGCTGGACGGGCTGCTGTCCTCATTCCCGGAGGATGGCAGTCCACTTTTAGTCTTTGGCGACTTCAACATTCATCTGGACAAGCCTTATGCTACAGACTTCCATTCACTCCTTGCTTCATTTGATCTCAAACGCCTTACCACTACAAGCACGCACAAATCAGGCAACCAACTTGACTTAATTTACACACGCAATTGTACTGCAGACAACATTTTGGTAGAACCCATACATATCTCTGACCATTTCTTCATTACATTTAAACTAAATCTTCCTACCTGTGTGCCACCAACCCCTATACCTGTTACTTTTAGACGAAACATACGCTCTCTTTCCCCCTCCCATCTTTCCTCTGTAGTATCCTCCTCTCTTCCCTCACCTACTCATTTCTCATCTCTGGATGTGAATGCAGCAACTGACACTTTATGCTCTACTTTAACCTCTTGTCTAGATGATATTTGTCCTCTCTCCTCCAGGCCAGCACGGGCTACCCCTTCTAACCCCTGGTTATCCGATGTTCTTCGTGAGCATCGGACCAAACTCAGGGCAGCAGAGAGAAAATGGCACAAATCAAAAGATCTGTCAGACCTGAGAATGTATCAGTCTTTGCTTTTATCTTTCTCAAGTCCATATTGCCAAATCTTCATATTTTCACAACAAGATCAACAGCGCTCCTGACACACGTAACCTCTTCAAAACTTTTAATTCTCTCCTCTGTCCCCCTCCACCACCTCCTACCACTTCTATACTCGCATCAAGTTCAAGACATTGATGCTTGCATATAGAACAGCCACAGGCTTACAATTTCTATATCCAAATTGTAAGTCGCTTTGGATAAAAGCGTCTGCAAAATGACTAAATGTAAATGTAAATATAATCATCTATATCTGTAACCTACTCACACTGTAAAATACCTCAGGCTTGGAGTCAAGTTCATCAGAAAGCATGGATTCAGCCGAATGTAACCTGAGAGAGAACACATGAATATACAATGAGATCAGCAACACATCACTGATTATTAATGATTATGTAATTCTTTATTAACGTCAGTCTGACCAGGTTCAGGCGGGTTCATGTGGCTCTGGGTCAGAGAGAGAAGCGTTCCTCCATCATCTGCGCTCACACTTCACTGACAGACAGAAATAAAGCCTGAATTACGTCATGAGCGCATTTACATATTAATGAGCGTATTTACATATTAATGAGCACGTCTCACAAAACACACAGTAGTTAAAATAAAAAAACATGAGATCGAAATGTGCTGAATAAATCCAGTCAAAGTCACCTATTAATCGCATATTAAATTAATATGAAGCATACATTTGCATATACTTATTAATATTAATAAACAGATCAGAAATGACGTTAACATGCTTTTAAATCATTCACGAGGCTCTGACAAACCGATAAACCTCAAGTCGCACTGTTTATCAATGATAGGTTTGATATTGTTATTATTATTAATGAAGCGTTTGTCATTAGTGAGGCACAGCTTTAGCCGGAAATCAAACCTCTAACATTCTGCTGACTTCCTGTCACTCTCATAACATCAAGCCTCTGGTGTTCGTGTGCATTCATCTCTATCAGCGCTATTTACCTCCATCGCGGTGTTTTGGAGCCGCTGATGTTTGACAGCGAGCAGCAAAGCTAAACACAAACACAAAGACGGACCACGAGCACTTCCGGGTCGCGGAGAGAGAGTGGGATGTACTTCCGGATGAAGAAAACATCAGCAGTGTTGACTAGTGTAATGGAAATTAGTGTGGGAAAGCCTGGTTTATTTTAGCTTAACAATGGGCTGCTTTTCACTGAGCGATAGGCTTTGTGAATCAGTTCACCGATTCGTTAAAAGAATCGGTTCAAAAGAACAAGAATCAGGAGATTCTTCCGGCTCCATTCGCGATGATTCTGATTCTTTTGAACCGATTCTTTTTGAAAGACAACAATTTTTTGATAACCAGCAGAGATGAGCGGTATTTTAATTATACGTATTTAATTACTTTTGAGTATTTTATTACTTATATTTTAATTAAACACATTTCTTACACCAGGATTTTGTATTGTAAATTAAATACATTTGATGAGTAAGTTTTTGTAATTTGCAACTAAATGCTTTTTTATGCATTTGTGCCCATCTCTGATAACCAGAAAACAATATATTTACAATGGAAAATATCAAAGCACATCATCATTTTACAATATTATTTTTCTTAAATACTGTTGTTGTTGTTGTTCTACTTACAGTAAAATGTTACTAAGTTAATATTAATGTTATTTTAATTTTAGTTAAATATATCAATTTAGCTATTATATTTTTGCCATTTTTATTCGTTTAAAAAAATAAACAAAATTTGTTTTTTAATATGCCTACACAAATTTTAGTTTATATATATATAGGTTTAATTAATTTTAATACACCAAGTTAAAAGTATATGAAAAGATGAAATGTTGCCTTTCTTTATATTTCACTTAATGTTTATTTTATTTAGTAATTACATTTTTAGTTTTAAACAGAAGTACTTGATTTTATTTATACTTGTATTATATTCATGCATTTATATTTATATATTTTTTATTTGCTGAGGAGGAGATCCAGGGACACATTTGACAATTAAAATGATTTTAATAACTTTACGACATAAATGAAAACATTTCACAGAGTAGTACTCAGTAAAACAGTTTAAAAAATAAAATGTAAAACACAAAGACTCGATGAAGTGATTTGGTTTTGTACAGCTGAGAAGTGTTTCTTCATCTCCTGTTTAACAGATGAACTGAAGAGCGATGTATTGTATGTACAGTATGTATTACTGATGACTGTAAGTTAATGTAAAAGCTCAGGATCCAGCTGATTTGACACAAAACCCTTCACAGTTCAACTCACACACATCTCTCCGTCTGCATTCACAACCGGAAATATGAGGATTATCAAACGAACAGCACAGAAAAATACAAAAACAGAGGAAAAGAACACAATTTATACACAAAACGGCATCAGTAATAACAGCTATCAGTAATAAGAGCGACACAAAGACTTTTATCAAAACTGCCGGCCTACAAAAGGTTTCCTAGCCACCCGTTTATACAAAATAAGCTTACGAGGCAACTATGGAAGCCATGGATTTAAAAAATAAAAAGTTTTTATCTCACGATTCATCTCAGAATTGCAAATTAGGTCTGAATTGCGAGTTAACATTTCTATCTTTCCACCGAATAACATCACATGAACACGCTTGAAAACACTTTCAGAAGACCTTCCTCTAATGCTTAAAATCAGCACATGAAACATGTAATCCATATGTGATTCGTGCACCTACAGACGCGACGCAAGCTCCTCGAATTAAAGCAGTGAGTTCTGAACTAGTGGTAATGAGTAGCTGCCAGAGAAAGTCTGAGCTCTACGTCTCGTGAACAGAGTCTGAACTTTGAGTAAGGCAAGATGAGAGATGAGAACATGATCGGTCATCATCACACAAACATAAAGGATCGCTGACAGACTTGATGTTTATAAAGCGGAGAGTTCCGGTGCTTGATTCTGATTGGCTGAGCCGCGTTCGAAGCTGTTGTAAATGACTCTACAAAGTAACATACACCTTTGTTTACGTTTGTGTGTTGCTCGGCAACCACTTTGTAGCAACCACAACTGTTTCAGAGGAGCTACATTGTTTGGTGGAAGAATACTGTTTTTATTAATATCATTACACTTTATTTACTCTGTTTTATT